TCAGTATTTTGAGAGCTAAAACCACCATTAATGCCAAAGAGAGAAGATCCAGACAAAGCAAGAATATCTCTATGAAGAAACACAGTGCCACTTGTTTTCCTTTGTCACCTCATCAAAAGTTACATAAACCCCCTGGAGATATTTCAAATTTAAATTAAATCCTACTATTTAAATGCAATTGCAATGCTTGTCAGTGAAAAATAGAATTCTTATAATAGTGTTTGCTGATTAAGCTTTTTGCATGTAAGTATTCATGCATTTCAGCCTCCTGTACAGGTGATATTTTAATGACCTTTTCCCATTCAAAATATATATTTTTGTTTTGAATTGTTCATTGTTATGGCAACAGTGCAGGGTTTTCATCATTCTGAAACCCATGCACATTATTGACTATAGTGTGGATCTATGCATTTTTGTAAGGAGATGTATGTGCATCATTACTAGATAAGGTTCAAATCCTAACTTCAGCCACAGGGGGGGTTAAGGAAAGTTTAATTATCATTTATCATTGAGATTTGCAAATGATTGGCTGCTCTTAAAATAAACCAATTAGCATATCAATCCTGCAGAAAAGATGACTAAATAACTGCAGCTTTTGCAACTGACTGCAATAGCAAAAAGTCAAATTGTGATTGTGATATGTTGTTTCCTCATCAAAAACATACCTGGAGTGGTGTTTTGTTTTATTCTCACAAGCTTATCACACAAACCCTGTGAACCCTGAAAACACTGTACTGAACTAAAGGGAAAAGGTAGCTGCTAACTTGAACTGAACTTGAACTTGAACTTGAAACTCTGCATTTTGAGTTTTGGAGATGTAGATAGTCTATGCAGCATTATGCGGCATTATACAGCATTACTAAAACATGCGTGAATGAAACCAAATGAATGTTTTTGAGGAGGTAATAACATTATAATGTGGCTTAAAGATCACAGAGTCAATTTTGCGTAATATAGGACCTTTAATCTTGGAGCTCTATAGGACAATGAATTAGAAAAGCAGTGCAGGATTTACAATTACACAGCAGACATAGATGTAGACCAGCCATTGCAATTGACTCTGCATTAAGCCTTCCACACATCACGTTTAGCACTACAATAGGCAGGACTAAACCAGGACTTGAACAGAACCAGACCAGGTCTATATTTGGACTAAACTGGGCTCAAATCAGAACTAAAGCGTCATATGCATTCACTGTTTGACGTCAGGGTTGCAAAGAAAAAGACAAACTCAGGTCCATTGTAAAGTTGCTGCGCTATAAGAGTCTTTAGGCGGGAAAGATGATTGACAGGTCTCCGGGCCCATCTCTGTAACAGGACCAGTGACATATTTTCACTTTATGTAAGTGCATTTGCCTAAGTCACACCCACCTAAGAGTACAAAGGGAAATGCCCACTGTTGATTTTGTTGTTGTAGTGTTTGCAATATGTAAATGTAAAAAAACACTTCTAAATTGTATATGAATAAGAATTACTGACTGGATTTTGATGGTTCCAAATGGGTAGAAATTAAATTAAATTAAATTGCAAAAACAAATGCAGAAGCAAATGAACAAGTTAAACCTTTGGAGTCTGATACTAATACTAAGCTTTGTGTAATACTCTTAGGCAAATGAATACAGTAAAGGTGCACTATGTAACTTTTCTATTGGAAGATCTGCCATCTGCTTCTCTCTATGGTGATGTCATTGCTTTGCTTGGAATATTCCACAGTCTGGCATTAAGCAGGAGACGAGCTGGTGATGCCACAGGGCCAATTATATTATTATATTAACAAATGCAAGAGAGTCAAGTTTAATAAAGTCTATTCAAAGCAAAAGCAGTCTCCATGGATACAAACATGTATCAGACCCTCCAACAGAAAAGTTGCACAGTACACCCTTATATTATAGTATTTTTGAGCTATAAAACCACCTACAATTATAATGTAAGGTAGATCCGTTTAACGTCATACTGTGGAACATTCCAAACAGACTGTTTCAAGGTAATTTACATCACACTTGGTTAGGGTTTATCATATTACCATGAAATAAAGTGGAACAATATGTCCCGTGAGTAATTACCATGCAAATACCAGAATTGCACTGAGTTACAATGCTATTATCATGAAGTACAGTAAAGAGCTAATATTATTTGGCCATGTTTATATCTCTTGTAAATTTCCACAGCTTTTTTCGTTTTTATTGCTTTTATTGATGATAGCTATTTTATGGATCTGAATCAGACTGGCTCTTTTTATATTTATGATATTAATATTTAAGCCAATGTGAGAACTCATTTACTCATTATTTTATCCACAACCTAATCACAAAGAGAAATAACCAAGGCTCAGGTTTGTTTAAAATGGTTCAAACTGAGAGTGCTTCTGTGCTGATTCTTGTATTGGTTTAGCGTTAATCCGTATAAAAAATACATAAAAACTAGAAAGAAAAGGATTTGGTCCTTTTACAAATGAGATCCGTTTCCAATGTTCACATAACGACACCATTCAAAAGAGCAGACTCGTTCACAAACATCACATCACTAATTGAACATGGATGCCAGAGGGTGACAGGTCACATGATTCACCTGCCGTGCACTGATGAGCTCATTATTCCTCTATTATCTGTGTGAGTGTCATCATGGCAATTGGTCAAAATAATACAAGGTCAAAACAACAACAACAGTAACAATGCCATGCAGGGGATTGGAGTGCTATTCAGTTTAAACAACTGAGTCCGGGTATGTTGTTTGTGCATTCAAAACATCTTCAAGAGCTTCAAGAAGTCTTTGAAACCACTGCACTGACAGCACTATGCAATTTGTAATTTAAGTCACAAGAACTATTATTTTGACTTTTAAAAATTACTCTAAATGAATCTAAATTATAGGTTAGACACAGTTTTACACAAAACTGACTCTTGTGAGCTTTAAGCCATGTTACATCCCCAAAAACATACCTGAGCTGTGTTTTGTTTCATACACCCATGATTGAGTAACCCTTTATTATTCGTCCGTCTACATCTCCAAAGCTCAAAATGATCTGTTCCACCTTGTGATGTCATGAACTGGCAGTTTTTAAGTTAACAGCTCCTTTTACTTTTAGTTCAGTAGAGATTGGTAATCTCAAATCTAAAATCATCCAAGTGATTCTAGTGAAGGTGCATGGAGTTTTAAAAAACACAGTGGAGCACTTCCTGTATTACCACATGACATCACAAGGGAAAACAGAGTGCTTTCAGTTTGAGAGAAGAACTCAGCTTAAATATGCAAGTTTGTGTGTTAAACATGTGTGAAAGAAATAAAACACAACTCCTGATATGTTTTTGATGAGGAAACAACATTAAAACATAGATCAGAAAATGGTGTAATATGTTCTCTTTAAATAACTGAGTAGCCTTCACAAATCAATTAAATGTATATGAAAGATTCCTTGGGGTCTGTCCTGAAGAACTAGATGAAGTCTGGTGTGAGAGTCTGTGAGCCCCTGCTTAGACTGCTGTCCATAGATAAGAAGAAGAAGAAGAAGATGGATGGATGGATAAAAGATGCACAATAAGTAAGTGAGTTTTAACTAAATACTATTGAATAACTGGGATTTAAGCTATGACCTTTTTGTATTTTGTGTTACTTAAGCATTCAGATTCTAGGGCAAGTGTCTTAACATGCTTATATCGAGCTTAATTAAGTAAGATGAAACTTCCTCAGGTTAAAAAGTCAGGCTTTGTTGTTGCTGACTCAGACAATCTGTCACTGTCACTGTGGGAATATGTCTTATTTACTTATAAGTGCAAATGAATCACTACAGTCAGGAAACAACATGGCCCAAGGAGCAAATTTGGAAAGCTTTTACTATTACACTTACTTCTACTTGTGCAACTACTGGTGTATCATGCTGTTAACTTCTTACACAACCGCAAGATTACTTAAAAAAAACACTACCATTAAAAATCCAAAGTACTACCATAAACTTCAATAATGTAGCCTATATTACTGATCAAAGTTACAATGACCTAATAATCTTATCTTTTATTATTTTAAAGGCTATAGGCTATAAAATAAACCCCTCTATAATCATGTTGGCACAGTGACTTCTCATTTAGAGCAAAAATGATTCATAACCACTTATTAAACCAATCAATAGGTCATATGTAAACACTGTTTTAGATTAGCCATAACAACCATCATTACCACTGTCACTCACCTTATTTTTTTAAAACGTAGCTTTTGAAAACTGCATTTGCTGTTACAACATACACTTTACCTCTATTCATTCTTAAAACCACAGCTTATCTCTATATGTCATTATTTTGCCTGGAAGTTCCTGGAATGTTCCACAAAACAGCATTAAACCTCCAGCAATGACTCAACCTCATGTGCTTTTGTGGCTCAAAAACACTTTATTGAACCCGCGTTCCATCACTTCTCCGCAGATCTGACTTGTAACTTGGCATGGTGGCATCACTTCCATGCCCCAATAGTGAGATGCTTACTGTGGTGGAACTTTTCAGACAAAGCAATAAACCTTTATGGACACTCACCACAAGAAAAGTTACGCATTACACCTTTAATGAACAGTATTAAAATACAACTAAAACAACACCTTTCTTATTTACTCCAGATCAATAGCCTTATCATTCCATTGACATTAGCTATCTTTAATGTTAACCTTATATAGACATTCCTTTTGATGAAGCGTTCTTTGTTCTTGTGTGGTCACTCTGTTTAAAAACCTTGAGGCGCACATTCATTGCAGATAACTGTGGCAATGTTGACCCGGAGCCGTGGGAGAGGAGCAGGTTGAGTCATTGACATGGGAAAGAGTTTCGCGAAACAGGTGAGGTAATCGCAGTGCGGACAGGTGCATCTTACCCGCTGGGAAAACGAGGCGCTGTCTATTCTAGGGATTTGTGTTCGGTCAACCGCAAATGTGTGCACAAGCAACACGTGACACCATCCAAAAAAAAAATCAAAGCCGATGTGAAAGTTGAATGAAAGTGTATAATGTGCGCGCGGCTTACCTCGTTGTGTTTGAGCGCTCGAGAGCCGCATCCGAGAGCACGAGAGGAGCAGGACGTAGCCAAGCACCTGTAGCGTCCGCTTCGTAGCAGCCATGGTCCCACTGCGTACAATCCAATTACACCCAACGTATCCTCATATTAGATATCCAAAAAACGCCTTTATATTCCGTGCGTAAAAGTTTGATGTATTGATCCAAAAGTCAATTAGGTCACGGAATTCGTAGTAAAATGTCAAAAGTTGTATTTTTTAAAGCCTCTTCTACAGAAATGTAAAGTGGAGTTGTTAGAAGGCGTCTTCTCGTTGAAAGTTTGTGAACTATGATCTGGTTGAGCGAGTCGTGCCCGCGCCGTGATTCACCGCTGCACTGATTGGAGGGACCGTGATTTGTTCAGGGAGGGACCTGCTCCAACTGCGCCACGGTGACAAGTGCGCGTGGGCTTGGCACGGCCGTTCAGTAGTAGTACAGTAGCAGACATTGGCACGGATTAAAGGGACTATGACAAATTTGTTATTCGAGACGGTATAGATCCACAAAACAAGGGCCAGCAGATCAAGACACGTATTGCAGTGAAGCAGTGCAATTAGTCAGTGCATTAATGAATTGGATAGGGATGACACGAGACACAATTTCCACGAGAGGAGACATGATTGTCACGATATTTGATTTAGCAGAACAAGACAAGACGAGACTTCGATATCAGTTTTAATACATTAATTACGGTATTCAGTTCACAGATTTGGCTTTATATGTTTTTATTAATTTTAGTTTAGTTTTGCTGATATTGTATTATTCCTTTTTGGAGTTATTCAACAAAGTTGTTTTTTTTTTTTTGTCCAAGGCAAATGTAAACAAATCTCTTGAGATGTTTTCTCATTTTTTCTCATGTACACACAATCCTTTTTTACCTTGCAAGATCATGTGCCAGGATATCTTGTCCTATCCTTAAAACTGGACGATCTCCATGTTGGTAGGCAGGTGGCAAAGATATGGGTCAGATCTATGGAGAGGTGACCCTTCTAACAGAGTGTTTTCATGTATTTTTGAGCATTAAAAAGACCTGTACTGAAATAAATGCAAGACAGATAAGTATAATGTCACACTGTAGAACACAGGTGTCAAACATAAGGCCCGGGGGCCGGATCCGGCCCTCCAAGACCTTTAATGTGGCCCTCAGCTGATTTTCTGCTAAAATATTGTAATTATATTTTCTATAAAAATTTACTTATTCCTATTTGTATACAAGTTCATGTTAAAACATTGTGTTGAAATTGTATTTTTCTTAAAGTTTCAGGTTGTTTATAATATTATAATATTTTGTAAAAGAAAGAGTTCATCAATTAAAAAAGATTTCTGTAATAGATTTGTGTTTCTCTGCACAAATATTTGAACTTATTGCTATTTTTGAGGTATATATGCCATATATACCAAAATAAGTATATATGGCACATATATAGCTTTCTGATGCGGCCCCTTTGGGATCAAAGTAGGTTGGACACGGCCCCCGGGCCAAAATGACTTTGACACCCCTGCTGTAGAACAATAATATCTCCATGGACACAAGCACATTCAGTTCAATTCAAAAAGACAATCTAAATTTAGAAATAAAATCGGGATAATAGTTAAAAGAGGCCCATACATTCATATATAAACCATATAATAATGTTTGTTCAAAAGTCCAGTTGACCAAAAAGACGACATGGCCGAGAGTGCATCTTTAACTGACTCTTGACTGTTTAATACACTACAATTTAGAGTTTTGTAAATATCCCTAAATGCTCCGAACACTAGCTTAAGTGAACAGCAAGGTTAATGCTGACACAATATGCCATAAAGATTTTCATATCAGACTGAACTGTGAAACTTTGACCCTGCACTCCTTCAGGCTGTGACCAAGACAAAACCAGCCTCTGTCCCTCTGCATTCTGTCTATAGGTCAATATTTGGAATAACAACACTTTTTCTATTTATCCACCTGCAAGGACAATGAGGAATCAGTAAACAATAAACAAGGGAGCGTCTGACTACAATCTAGATTAATTCACAACAGAAAGTCTCCCTGTCAGACCTTATAATATGTTTTGTATAAGTCTAAACCAGCCTGATCCTGGACTGGTAAAGCAATAGGTCTAGACTGGGATCATATTAGCAAACCAAAAAAGTTTTAATGAGGATTAAAGGTGCAATAAGACATAATAAAATCAAAACTTTTAGCCTATATAAACTCTCCTGTTTTGGCATATTGCCCAGACTGAGGATTAAATGAGTCCAAACACCGACTAAACCAGGATTAATGTTTCTCAGTGAGGCATTAATATAGCTTGCATTCGTACATTTTAGGTGTTAAAAATAATACCTTATATAGAATTATACCTTGAATTTTTATTTTTTTTTACTGTTAGCATGACCTGCTTGTCTTTATGGAGTCCAGTAAGTTAAATTGTTTTGCTTATTGAGCATTTTCTAAAGCTTTAAAACAGTGGTTGTTCAGTGGTCAAATATGTCACCAAATTCCATTTTCTTTGAGGGGTTGTTGGTTTAACTCTTGGTTTAACTCTTAAACTCTTGACTTTGAACTTCAAATTAAATCTTTGAAATGAATTTGTATGTATAATGAGTGGTTTTATGTACTTTTCTGTGATTGCTGTTGTACTTTTCTCTGTCCTGTAAATGATTTCATATCAACATGCTGAGGGACTGAAGATGGAAATTAGCCATGCTACTATAATCTTTACATATTTACATTTTTAATGTTCATTAATATGTGCTATCCCTTTACAAATAAATAAATAAGAAATAAGAAAATGCCATTCTGCTGGATATTCCAGCAATCTCCATGGAGTCAAGCATATGACGGACCTTACACCTGAAAAGTTACATAGTGCACCTACTTTTTCCTGTTTTTGTTATTACCATTTCGATTTTTGTTCTTTGTTTTTATATTTATTGTGATGTGTGAGCTACTGTGTCCAAATCATTTCCCTTGTGGATCAATAAAGTTTTTCTAAGTCTATATATAGTATATAAACAATAAAAAATATGCTGAATAAGAGTACTATTAGCTGTAATTTATTCATAAAATTCAAAGTTATCACAATCTCTAATCATTACTTGAACTGAAATACTGAATACTGAAAAGACAGTAAATTAAGAAATCTCCAAGAGGCCCCTACAGCTCCGGTCAAACAGTGAGAGATACAGGACAACAATCATACCGTACTCCCTACAACTGTACAACAACTCACCCATATGTAACAGACAATACTCCCTACAACTGTACAACAACTCACCCATATGTAACAGACAATACTCCCTACAACTGTACAACAACTCACCCATATGTAACAGACAATACTCCCTACAACTGTACAACAACTCACCCATATGTAACAGACAATACTCCCTACAACTGTACAACAACTCACCCATATGTAACAGACAATACTCCCTACAACTGTACAACAACTCACCCATATGTAACAGACAATACTCCCTACAACTGTACAACAACTCACCCATATGTAACAGATAATACTCCCTACAACTGTACAACAACTCACCCATATGTAACAGACAATACTCCCTACAACTGTACAACAACTCACCCATATGTAACAGACAATACTCCCTACAACTGTACAACAACTCACCCATATGTAACAGACAATACTCCCTACAACTGTACAACAACTCACCCATATGTAACAGACAATACTCCCTACAAACTGTACAACAACTCACCCATATGTAACAGACAATACTCCCTACAACTGTACAACAACTCACCCATATGTAACAGACAATACTCCCTACAACTGTACAACAACTCACCCATATGTAACAGACAATACTCCTACAACTGTACAACAACTCACCCATATGTAACAGACAATACTCCCACAACTGTACAAACTCACCCATATGTAACAGACAATACTCCCTACAACTGTACAACAACTCACCCATATGTAACAGACAATACTCCCTACAACTGTACAACAACTCACCCATATGTAACAGACAATACTCCCTACAACTGTACAACAACTCACCCATATGTAACAGACAATACTCCCTACAACTGTACAACAACTCACCCATATGTAACAGACAATACTCCTACAACTGTACAACAACTCACCCATATGTAACAGACAATACTCCTACAACTGTACAACAACTCACCCATATGTAACAGACCCCTACAACTGTACAACAACTCACCCATATGTAACAGACAATACTCCCTACAACTGTACAACAACTCACCCATATATGTAACAGATAATACTCCCTAACAACTGTACAACAACTCACCCATATGTAACAGACAATACTCCCTACAACTGTACAACAACTCACCCATATGTAACAGACAATACTACAACTGTACAACAACTCACCCATATGTAACAGACAATACTCCCTACAACTGTACAACAACTCACCCATATGTAACAGACAATACTCCTACAACTGTACAACAACTCACCCATATGTAACAGACAATACTCCCTACAACTGTACAACAACTCACCCATATGTAACAGATAATACTCCCTACAACTGTACAACAACTCACCCATATGTAACAGACAATACTCCTACAACTGTACAACAACTCACCCATATGTAACAGACAATACTCCCTACAACTGTACAACAACTCACCCATATGTAACAGACAATACTCCTACAACTGTACAACAACTCACCCATTGTAACAGACAATACTCCCTACAACTGTACAACAACTCACCCATATGTAACAGACAATACTCCCTACAACTGTACAACAACTACCCATATGTAACAGACAATACTCCTACAACTGTACAACAACTCACCATATGTAACAGACAATACTCCCTACAACTGTACAACAACTCACCCATATGTAACAGATAACATTACTAATACCTACAACTGTACAACAACTCACCCATATGTAACAGATAATACTCCCTACAACTGTACAACAACTCACCCATATGTAACAGATAATACTCCCTACAACTGTACAACAACTCACCCATATGTAACAGATAATACTCCCTACAACTGTACAACAACTCACCCATATGTAACAGACAATACTCCCTACAACTGTACAACAACTCACCTTAATGTAACACATAACCCTTTGTCCCTTGCACTGTTTTCCTTACGACCTCTTATATATAGCTGAGGTATTTTTATTACTTCTATTTCTATTTTATTTAGTTTTTACTTGTACATATACATTTATATAATTATGCTTTATTTGACACCAGTCTCTTATTTAGAATTTATTATCAGCGTTTATATT